GGTGGAACACGTTGTCTCCTCCAGGCAGACTGCTGGCTCCACACCACACACTTTTCTTTCTCTCCCTAAGTCTCCTTGAATTATTTAGCAGCCATTACTCGATACCTAAACTTTCTGCTTTTTCGCTCGCTCCCCTATAACACCACCCCTTCCTGCCTGGTACCTTGCAAACCCCTAACCCTTCTAACCCATTAAATATTTGAATCAGATTGCTCGAAAGCCCACTCCCATCAAAATAACTTACCCACTTGCATCAGTGTCATCCCATCTCACCAAACACGGTGCCTCTTTGCACCTTAACTTGCCCAGTTGGTACTTTCTTGGGGGGAGGGAAAGCAAATGAAAAGACCGAGTGCATTATCCTACCATCTGAGCACATGAGGAAATAGGAAACTGAATGAGACACGTTCTTCTCCAAATTAATCAATTGATCCAGTGTTTATACTGTATTCTTAATGGTTTAAAGCCTCATTTGACAGTCCATATTTACTAAGTATCTACTTCTTACTTAGCTATATAGTACATACTTACGTAGCTATTCAGTAAATACTTAATATCTACTTGCATAAAAGCACATAAATGTACTTCCTTACCCACTTTTGCCATTCTTGTTATACAATAAGGTACATGTGCTGGGTAGGAAGGAGCAAACATAAAAAGGTTATAGAGAAGGGAAGTGAATAAAGGCCACAGAAATAGAATTGTAATCACCAAATCACGTCCAAGACTTGTTTCTTGTAACGTCGTACTCTCCTTTGTAGGTTTAAACTACATCATCATGGGAGAGGTAGAAGACGACGGCAGGGGCAAAGTGCTGCCCAACAGCTTTGTCATGAGTTTCAAGACTAAGAACCAAAAGATCCTGAATGCCTTGAAAAACAAAAGATGTTAAAACTAAACTCTGCAGCTGCCTTCTATCATCTCTTTTGAAAAATAATTTTCACTTAGTACTAAGTCATGAAAATACAACTGACCGTAAACACTAAGATCATGCTCACCCATTCTTCCCACCCATCCACCTAAGCATACCCTGACACAAAGTGGTTTCTATTACATACACCTATCAAGAGGAGAACAGACATGACACATAACCAGTTCCAATTACTTGGAAGCTATTAATTTATAATTGTCCAATTTTTTAAGGAATTATGTGAGTATGTAAAATAAGAATTTTAAGTGCAATATTTATAGTAACTCATTTTAACATAGCTTTTTCTCAAAAGTTGTTTTATTATATGGATTCCAGCATTATTATCTGTGCTTAATAAAATATTTTAAGATTAAATCATATACCAACTAGTTATTCGTTATGTATGAAGTGGGGCAGGCTAAACATAGCATCTCGCTTTTCATCTTTTACATGCTTTTGATGCTTCGAGTCTGGCATACTATGACTGACACTACACTTCCTTGCTGATTAAAGGCCTGATTTTACTTCCACTGAAGTCAGTGAATCATTGATGTGAACAGGAACTGGATTTACTCTTCAAAGAATTAGACTCAACTGTATTACAGCATCAAGCTTTTTTCTACTGATGACTATATTCTAGTTAGCAAATGTCATTATTAAGTTCCCTAAGGTAAGGAAAAGCATAGGAATTAATTCAGTGGCAATAAAATACACATGCAAATAGTTTCAATTTTTGTTTCTACTATGAAAGAGAGGACAATAGAGCAATGCTCAGTCTGGAAGCAGTAGTGTAAATTGCATATCTGGCTAATTTATTTCATTTATATATGTGGAAGTTCAAGAAAAGAGGCATTTTTGAGGAAGGAACAGACTGGAGGCAGCTAGACAGAACATTACGTTATTTAGAAATCTTTGTCAGGTCTGTCTGTTGTATCCAGTCATATATTATTCTGAATTATTCATATATTATTCTGAAACTGAAAGACAATAACCAAAGATGGAAGCACAGAAACAGATTATAGACACACATTAATGCTGGAGAGGTCAAAGACCAATTTGATCAAAAGCAGATATGAAATACATGCTTTGCAAATTGTGTAAAACTTAAATACTAATAAAAATGGCATGGAACAGATTCTTGGGTCCCTTTAAGTACTTAATACTTATTTTTCTTGTACATAAACACCACAGAAGTGGTTTTTTATTTCTTGGTAGTCTGTAAGTATGTATAGGAAACTTAGAACCACTGATATACGTAGTCCCTACTAGAACGGCCCACTGGTTATGTCATTAGCGAATGTGAATTGTGGTTTTCCTTCAGTTATTGATTCTCATATATAATGCCAACAGGTACTGCCACAGAGCAGCTAGGCAGCACAGCAGTCTCTGAAGAGTTACTGGGCAGACAGGCAGAAGACAAAAGAACAGGGGTGAGGAACAAAGGTACAAAAAGGTTATGCTGGCAGCTCACATCAAACAGCTCAGTGCTATAACCACACTTTCCCGATTGCTAGGCCTTTGCCTTACTCAATAAACCAAACAGCTTTTCTCCCTATGGAAGTGATAGAGATGCAGGTTTACAAACCAGATTTGTAATTTTACACCTCATTTTCCAATAGCAATTCCTATACAGACTAAGGAGTTTTATGCATTGTACTATCTGTTTTTCCCTGCACCATCCTTGGGAGAAGCAGGGTGGAAATCCTGCTCAGAACTGTCTTGAACTACAATAATCTATTTTTATTCATGAGGACATGACCATCTGTCATGCAACTTTTTTCAGTGTGCAAGAACAACCTGGCAGCCTGCTTCTTTTCTCCCAAATGGTAAGTAGGGAAGGCTCTTGTCTGCCTGCTCTCTATAGACAGCTTCCTTTCCAACCTGAACATTTCTTTTCACAGTTCCTCAAAAAGCAACTTCTTTTTCCTTCACAAAAGAAAGAAAACCCCAAGTTCTAATTAACATTTCAAATTTAAACCACACTAACATATTTCCCAAACACATTGCAGTAGGGAGGATACACAAAAGCCACATGAATATACCCACTTAGACCTATGTGCTCACTGCACGCAGAACCTAAATGGGTTTCTGCTATTGCATGGAAGAGCCAAGGCTGATCAGCTTGTTTGTGGAGAAAAAGCACAGACAGCAGTGGCCCTGCAAAGGGAAACATGAGCCAAAACTTGCACAAAGGAAGGTGAAACAGTGCCAGTTATCTCAAGTGAGAATCAGTTACAAAAGTAGATAACTTTCTAGAAAGAAAGCGGTTTTAAAAAGTAAGTATAACAGTAAGTTTCAGATTTTTAAGATTTTTCAGATTTCAAAATCCATCCTGCAATCAAATAGAATCAAAGTTTTCTAACTGCAATATAATTTCTGAAACTTCTTCAGCAGAAATAATGAACAGCCAAATATACTTTATCAAGACAGTAAAGTGACTACGGATAATGATGTTTTTTTACCCTTTGGCTGCAAATGAAGGTGGCATGAAAATTTCCATCTCCTTTCTTCATGTACAAGATCTAAAAGAAAAGTTAGTTCCATCAAGGCAAAGATAGCTCTATAGAAAAAAGGCTATTAACTTGAAAGGAGAAAAAACAAAAGTGAACAGCATTCTTCAGTAGTCTCAATCAAAAAGAGAATTTAGTGTTTTAATGACTTGCACTGAAATTTGCATAAAGAAATTCTGAATCCTACAGAGTAGTACATTTCTTTTTTATATCATTTATTGGGTTTGTCTACCCTGCATTAAGCCATGGCACACAGGATGCAGAGCACTTTTAGTAGAGACTAAAACACTTCCTAATTTCACTCCCTGTACTAAGAAAAGAAAGCAAAAGCAACTTATGGAAAACGTCAGTGTACAACTACTAAACTGAACTAAATAGGTGATATCACACAGGTAGCAGGAGAAGGAGTTACATCCAATACACCATTACTACTGCACTGGAAAAAGGTGGTAGCCTTTTCAGAGGAAAAGATCTGAGTCAAACAGATAAAACCGTCCGACTGTATTGTCTGAATGTATTTGTCCTGGTAGACAAATGAATGGCTTGTTTGGCGGATGAGGCCACAGGAAGTCTCATCAGCCAAATCTGGTAAGGATCTACACTTGATGGAATTGAGGCCCGGAACTTTGGGGCATTTCAGTAATTTAATTTTGGCCGTATTTTGCTGCTGCTTAGCCTTCGACGTTGCAGTTTAAACAAGCATCACGGAAACCTACAATTTTGTTTCAGTGCATGTCCACGTTCTGGGAAATCTCAGAGCCCCAGTAGTTATAGACTTATACAAGTATGGCCAGTATTAGACTGCCAACTAAGAAAGCAATAGCATGTTTGCTACACGTGAATTACAAAAATCTAAAGGATAAGACAAGATTGAACACAGAGCATGAAGCACTCTAAACCCTTGAGATTAGTACCCAAGAAGTTAAGACGACTACCACAGCTTTGAAACAACCAAGGCTCGGATACACCGATAACAGGTATGATGCTTTGCTTACTAAGGTGCTGCAGAAAACAAGCCTCTCTTACGACATTCATCACTTCACAGACACGTATTTCAGGGGCAAATAAGATCTCAAACTCCCCATTCCACTCCAAACCCCAAAGAAATGCCTAGAGGTAATACAAGTCCTCCTAAGGACATGTCCACACTGTAGAACACAGTGTGGATAACCAAGCTCGCTCTGAATGACCCTGCTTGTGTACCAGAAGTGATTAGGAATTGCTACCATTAGCATACTGCTTCACATAGATAAACATACCGAGCTTCCCAGAAGAACTAATCAGCATGGGCTGAGTGCCAGGCAGCTAATGTTGCACCAAGAACCCAGCCTAACTTGCTCAGAGCAAATGCAGCTACTGCTTCATGGCACTGCATCATGCCGTCTAAATGAACTTACAAATAATTGTTCCACAAGGGAGGAAAAAACAAACAAACAAACAAAAACATATTATTACCAGCTACCTTTTTTAAGCCTATTATCTTAAAGATACAACACAAAGAAAGAAATTATTGTCAATAGAAAAGATAATATTTAACCAAGATAAACATTAGTCATATTTGAAATGTACTAACACAACCGTATTTTTCAAAGAGCTTTTATTTGTTTGCTTCCTTTCTTGGGAATACATAACATATACAAGCACACAGTTTTTATGGTGGTATAGCGTTCAAACATGAGATCTCCCTCTTTAAAAAAAAAAAAAAAAAAAAATCAGTGATCCTCTTTGCTTTGAACACGAGAGGTTGGCTGCTTATTCACATGAAACCCCAACAGACTATTCAGAATGCTTCTACACTATAGGACTTCTGGAAGCACAATATTAAACTCAGATATGCATAATTTCTTAGTACAGAAAATATATTACCTTTACAAGAAAGAGTTTTGTAAGAATTCCTTCAAAAAAAGTGAACATTCATTTAAGCCTCCGCTCTCTTATCAATCTTCCAAAATCTACTGTAGTCAGAGACCATTATGGCTACCTGCGCCTTCTGGACATAAGACTGGTTTAGAAGAACACCATCTTCACAGTAAAACCGTCAATCCTTTAGCTCTCATAAATATACTTATTTTGTAATTAAAAATACAGGAATATCACATTTCTCAATTACAATTTGTCAACTTGAACTATATATAAGCATATAAAGCTATATAGGACCCTCTAGCACAGAAAATCCACAAAGCCCTTACTGTCCATTGTAAGCAAAGTTAAATCATGTGTTTTCACAAAACATAATACTCCTGACACAGAAAAAGAAAAGAGAAAGTTAAACTTTGCAACAATTAATATTAAAAGAAGAAAAAAGAAAGACAAGTTTAAAAATCTCACCTGTAAAACCTGGCTATAGCAGGGCCGAAAGCTACATCTGTCCAATAACCAGACAAAATGTATGTTCTCACAGGAAGAAGCGTACAGTGTTTCAGAGAGGAACTGTTTAGCATTGCAAACAACAGCACTCATGCGCTCCATCTCATTTTTGTTAAATCATAGGTTTTAATTTAACTCAAATAATAACTATTGATCATCCAGATAAAAAAACAAAAAAAGATCCTGAATACACCGAAAGTTCATAGGTTTGTTTTAAAATTCTGTTCCCAATCCTAACCTGCACAGTAGAACATACTTCTGAGGCACCACTGAAAAATCCAAGCAGGAATTGATTGTCTTGTATGTAACCACAAACATTCTGGAAGTGATTGGTCTATTTTAAACCCAAAATTTCAACTTTCCCATGAATGGGAAGAGTCTTGATGATTTGATTTTCTATATGCTATAAATGCTACCATACAGTCAACCTAATATACAAAACTTGGCACTAGAACTGCCTCTTTCAGAGCAATACAGTCTTCAAGTGCACTGTGACCTGCAGTCAAATGTAATTTCCAATTTTTTTGGAAATCTGTTATTCTATTCTACCCAACTTTTCTATTAAAAATAAATGCAGTTTGGATTTTTGTTTAAAAAGCTTCTTCTCTCGCAACTTGAAAAACAAGTATCAAAAAGGAACAAACAGCAAAAATAGAAGAAATAATCATATTGTGCTAGTTACGAAGCTCTGACACCTGACAGCCACAGTGTGAGGAACATCAAAATAAAATTCCTATATACAGATTTTATATATACAATAAGATTAAGAGCGTTAAGAAAATTACTGTTTTTGCATTTATTTTCACCACTTCTGCATCTAGCTGCAGCTCATGCAAATGCATTTTCAAGTTCGATACTGTGCAATTGTTCGATATTTTCTATTTGGTCTAGCAACAGAATTAAGCCAGTACTTTACTTTTTGATAGGTATCAAAAAGTAGACACCTTTCATCTGAAAAGTTAGGCCTTAATTTCTTGGGTAAAACATAGCATATTTAGAAGTTCGAAAGCCAAGTAGGTCTCTCATTTCATTCCGGAACTTTGATAAGTCTTGCCGCAGTTCATTTAGGTTTTCCACAGTTGCCTGATCTGTACTTTGCATCTTCTGTCTCATGGAAGTCAAGTAACGGTGGACTAAGCAGCACATCACCTTTTGATAATTCTCATCTCTCTTTTGCTTCAGATTTCTCCATTCCTTTAAACAAACATTAAACATTTACTATACAAAAGTGACTTCTGAGCCCTAAAGGCTGTGCACAACTTAGAGAGAATGAATATGAACAAAAAAGTGGCAACTGTATATAAACATCCTGACTTGTGCAAGTATACAATGCATATACATTGTCAGCCAAATTTAAATTAAATGATAATCTACTGTTCCAGCAAAAAGGAACAAGTTGTAATCTATCTGGCTTGGTAAATAGCCCTGTGAGCAACTAAGACTTCCACGTTCTCTAATGTTTGTTTGCAAGTGTGTATTCTATAAAGTCTTTGAATTTAGTTTCTTCAAAAGCTATTTTTGTCAGCAAGGAGATGCAAAATTCGTATGCATAATTACAGGATAAAATAAAAAGGTTTACTTAAGAAAAATAATCCCTACTCCCAAAATGAGAGGTTCCAGTGTTACTGTTGGTTATTTATTTTGACACTTCTGTGATATGTTTAAAACCAATTACTTTCCCCAAAGCATACTCTAACCTCATCATTTTTTGAGATTAGCACATACTTCCTTGAGGGTTCTATACATTTTCCATCAGTCAAAGTATGTTTCCACGCTACTGCTAGGGCAGGACGGTTACTGAAATTCCCCAAAACTGGCAGTTAATACAATCTTACTTAAACAGAAATAGGTAAAATTTATTTTCATTTATTTATATTTAAATGCAACACACATTATCCAACAGTTCCCATTTTACTTTAGAAGTGCTCATCATGTGAAAGGCACCTTCCTGCAGCAACTTACTGATTCATTTTAGTAAGAAGCACCTTTCCAGTTTCAGAGCGTACAACTTTCCAGATCATTTCTTACCTTTAGGCTATTCTGACGTTTCACTTTGCCACTTGATGTATGAGAGCAGATCCATTTACTGAGGCTGTTGAAAAGATAGCAAATAGTTTTGGGAGAGGGGATGACATTGAAAGGTGGAGGTAGCGTGCATTTGTCGTCAAAGTAACTAAGCCAAAGCTTAGCACGAGCAAACTTCCACTCCTTATCTTCATGATTCTAAAGCATCAGAAACATTAACAGAGATCAGAAGCAAAGTAACAGGGAAGAGCATTAAAATATTTAAAGCCTATTTCAGTAAGTTACATTTTCTCATAACTTAAAAACTGACTGTTAACTTTGATTAAACATCATTTTAACATTATTTTAATGCATTAAATAATTAAAATACTAAATAACTGTAATACATACAAAGATTCAATTCATTATATGCTCTGGCTTAAATATAAAATTCAGCTATTCAGGTAATAAACTCCATATTAAATGCCTAAAGTTAAGCGTGCCTCACCCTGTCAAAAACAGCACCTTGACTTCAACAGCACTGTATCAAGAAAGTCTCCAACTCTCTGAGGGCCAAAGCCTTGCACATTTTCAACATGCAGAGTTTCTCTGGCTTATTTGTACTTTAACTCAACAAAAAGTACAGCATTTTCCCTTGAAGGTAAGACTTGTGAGCCCAGAGACAGAGCTCACCCATAAAAGTCTATCAGACGCTAGTTCACAAAATTAATCTACATGTTCTAACAGGTAAATTGTATAACGTCCAAGATACTGCTAGAATTTACTCATAATTAATCAGAAACCACTTACTGCGATCAGCTGAAAACTTTTATGAAGCATTGCCACAAGGAGCTTAGTTAATACTATCACAACCACCACATTGTAGGTGCCAACAATAACAGCACCCACAAAAGACTGCAATTCTTCACCATAGCTGAAGCGCGTGACAAAGATTGCTACGTGTGCCAGGGAGAATATATACCAGAATAGAGCAAAACATGTGCCAATAAACCTACAAAACAAGAAGAAAATTTCTTTTTAGGTAAACATCAAATGTGAATTTACTTAATGGGAATGCAATTTCAGCTAAAATTCCTAGTAATTAAATAAAACTGTAATGTAAAGGTCAGAACAATGTGGACATTTCACAGATATCAAACTCACGAATGGAATGTGTCATTGCTCTGTTGTTCACAGAAAATTCCCGCACAGTCCTTTTCTTCATTTACAGTAAATCCTTTATCATAAAGTTGCGTCAATCCAATTGTGAATGAGAACAAAACAAGAAGAAACATGCCCAGAAATTTTCCAAAATCCTGTAGCATCTGTCCCATTGAGATCTGTGAAACAGATTTATTCCCAATATGAGTCAAATTTGTAATTTATTGTTCAGCTTCTAAACACACAGACACACACACAAAAAACTATTTATATTTGTTTGTAAATATTTGTTCTAAGTTAAAATTTAAGGTGCTAGGAAGACGACAAAATTAGGAGATGTCCTCATACCATACACTTGATTTTTCAGTGATAATTTCCAGCTGTTAGGACTCTTAATGTCAACAGATACATTTGTTTTCAATAAACCATAAGTGATACTGTGTACACATTTTCCTGCATTCATAATTTACTACAGAAGGTAACTAGGAGCTCCCAAATCAATAGATAAAAGCAATACGTGAAATGCATTTGAACACAAACACCATCACAGAAAGCTGAGAAAGCGCTTCATATGGATACTGAATTAATCAAAACATTTGGCATCATAATTCACTGTGAATTAAAAAGCATTATAATTCAACCCATCTGCTGAACACAACATTAATTCACTGCATGTTTTATGTTAGTCTTGAAATATGCACGATGTCTAGGTGCGTAAGCACATATGAAAACCTGAGGGGTGTAAAGTATAGAAGACATGGCCCTCAGTTTAATTCATTAAGTTTCCAGTTCAAAACAGCCTATATGGAAGTTTGCAGAGCACCACAAAGCATCTAACAAAGGAGGAGAGAAGGGGGGGGGGACGGGGGATGACAAAAAAGAGTTGTGCCATAAACACAGATTTTTAAACAAACACTGCATAAACTAATTACTGTTTCTACAAAGATATATGGGTCTTCTTCAGGGAATAACATACTATTATTGTTAAAGAATGTAAATACATAAAATAGGGTTGGGTAATTCTAATCCTCTACATAAATTGGTGCGTGTAAATCTTAATCCTGTCTGAATCATGATCTGCAGCAAACAGCAGTGCGGAAGAGAATCACTGGTCAGACTATTTCGTAATAGCTATCCTTCTAAAAAAACCAAACGTTTAGTGTTCAACTGGCTCCCGCTCCCAGACAAGAGGGACACAAAGCAGTTAAAACCAGAATGCACAAGAAGCACGAACCACCCAAACTAATTTGTTTAGAATATTATATAACAGCCCAAATACCAGCCGTTTTCTCCATATAGCCACGGTATTCCTTTCTGTTTTGAATTTCAGAGCACTTGAAAGCTGAGGAGCTAGTCCAACCAAATCTAGGGGAATATCGTTCCACCTTCCGTTAATAAAATAATTCAAAAAAAAAAAAAAAAGATAGTCAACTGTGTTAAAATAAGTTTTATTAGTCAATAAAGTAAATGAATGCTTAAAAATAGCTGTGTAGTAGCCAGAGAACGCAGTAGCTGCCTTCCCCCCACAGCCTGTTGGGTTGCCGTGCCATGTTTCAGTACCACCATTTGAACTTTGTGACCTACTTTCAGAAAATACTGTAAGAGTTGTTGCACAAGCTGTACTAGCCAACAGTAATAACATAAGCCTCACTGTGCCACTGAATGGGGTGACTGTTGACTGTTTTTATTTACTTGGAAAATTTCATAACATAGCCTCCTAATATAAAACTTGTGAAAGATCTAGTACATAAATAAACAGCACATTAAACAGTGAACCTCTTTAAAACATGGGAGAGATGTTACTGTTCGATTTGTAGGACAAGCGTAGTGCAACATCAAGATTTTAATATTTTTTAAAGTATGGCAGTAGATTTCCATTTAAAAACATGGAAGAATAAAAAAAAATCAACAGTTACATAGTCATAGCTAGGGAAAAGAAAGGGGCAAGAATTAAAAAGAGAGAGAGAGAGAGAACAGAAACAGGCATTTTCCAGTAACAATGGCTACAAATAAATATAAGTATTCTATTTAAAGTACATTTTTGCAGGATTTAAGAAAATATCAAATAAATAATTCATTTTTTCTTTTAACAGGAGGACTATTTCATATTTAACTATTCATATTTAACTATTCATATTTAAAAATATTACAATTATTCGTATAGCAATATCAAGTACTCTAAATCATTAAAAAGGGCTGAACCTTCAAGATGGAAGTTTTCAGCTATTCCCTGAAGCAAGACCTGGTGATCTGAGCCAAAGTTATGTGCTCCAGAACCTCCTTTGGTGTAGCTCTAGTTGCAGAGGAAGAGTTAAAAATATGCTGCTCTCAAAAAATATCTGTTCTGCCCTTGTGACTAGCAGTGATAAACTTTCTTGCAAGATCATTTCAGATGATCCACTCTTGCCAGAGGTTCTTAAAACTAGGTCTGCTCGCTAGAAGAAGAGAGGACAGAGCTTGTCGTAATAGGTCAAATCAATGCTCAAGAAATCAGTGACGCGTCCAATCCAACTTTGTTGCCATACATTTCCCAGGCTGTAAGGCCAGAGCGGCTGGACGTATGCCTATGCAATGCCTTCTCAGTAAGCTGTGCCTTCAGTAACGCAGGTGCTTTAGTTTGTAAGGGGTTTCCACCGGCAAAGTAACAAAATCAGTCAGCGCAAAGGACTCGAACTGAGGAGAGGCAAGGCAGAAGGGAGAAAAAAATTTCAAATAGTACATATCAGTGGACTAACAGGTGCCTGATGGATTCTTCCACTCAAAATTTCTTAGAAGGTAGTTTTAAATCCTCTTTTAAATCTAAAAAGGGTCAAGGGAGGTAACTGCAACCTAAATGAGAGGTCTTAATAATAGTCCTGGTTTCCTCCCCTGCCCCCAAAAGGTACCAGCAATTCTGTAAAATGCCATGTTGGACCCTCAAGCCTATCTGCCATAAACTAGGATGAGAGACTCTGCACAAAAAAAAAACCCCAAAACAACAAAAAAATCCTCACCCACACCATGACATAAACACAACAGAAAATTTTCTCTCTGCTCTCTAATCAGGGGAAGAAAATTTAAATTGTTCACAAAAAAAAAGGTTAAATCCTAACTTTAAGTGAAAAACATTAATTTAACTTAGAAACTATTGTGGCTCTACCGTTCCACCATCACAGAAGACTGTTAATGCTTCCCCCACTGCTCAAGACAACTGAATTAAACATATCACAGAAGGAAAATGTGTTTGTATACTGTCATTATTTTTCATGGAAAGGCTCAAGTAAATTCAAGGTGAATACGAAGAAATCTAGTCTCCCTTCTTGTTACTGGCTACAGATAGCAGGCCATTTTAGTACTCCGCAGAGTTTTCTTTTTTAAAAAGGCAGGTTGCACAATTCTACCCAACATGCAACTTCAGTGAGACTACCAACACAAATGGAAAGGCTTTTGATTATTCTTCCATGCTACACATCTCATTCGTCTGTCCACTAGAGATAATAAGTTATGACTATCACTTGCACAGAACTTTAAAGAACAAACAATAACCTGTTTTCAAACTGCAGGCACATCCGTCATATAAATGTTAAGCTACCGGCGCATAACCATAGATGAAAACTAAAAGCAGTATATGTACAATTAGAAGGAAAAACAAAAAAACAGAAATTTCCTTATAAAAAAATGTGAACGGACACTGTCTTCCATTCTTTATCTTTCCTTCTTCCTTCTAAATCAGTGTATTTTACAGGAGGAGACTAAAAACGTATCTGTGTAGTATCATTTCTACTTTCTAGTTTTGCTTTCTATCTTTGTCTATAAGCATTATCAGTAAGACTCTGGATAGCAATTTAAGATCTAGTTTAATATTTTCCTCAGACAATAACGATATTCACCTGGAGCGGTCCCAGAATAGAGCTCGTTGTATACATGAAGAAGAGACGTAGATAACTAAGAACATTAGCAAAAGCAAAAAGACCTTCTGCCACCAGGGTAGGATGGAAGGCATCCCAGTCCTTCCTTTCAGCATAATCATGGAACTGGAATGGAAAAAGCACAGTCGGAAATCATTTACATTTTAAATAGAGAAATGCACTTATGCACCCCTTCCCACACCTCCCTCCAGAATAGGTAACAGCATAGAAGAACTTCAACGCATTTGACTTATAGATAATGAAGATGTTAGTCTTTCAGATATCCCACTCTTTTTAGCCAAAAGGATTTTAAAAGCTACTCCAGAGGGAGCCAGAAAGTAGGCTTAAGTTCAATCCTAAACTCTGCCACTTGCTTGTGTAATGCTCAGCAAATCACTTTATATCTCTGGTTCTGCTTCCCCTCCCACGTTTTTCATAGCTAGTTGAAACAGGGATCATGTACTATCATAAACACGTACACTGTCTAGTGTAACGGGCCTCAATTCAAAATGATATTAAAATGCTGCAAAATAAACTAATTAACTGATGCGACAGCTGGTCTTAACCACAGTTAGAAAGATTTAGAAAGACTCAGGTGCTGGGGTGCCTACAATGGATTTTATGAAAGACTACAGAGAACAGAAGTTGCAAGAAAACTGTTGGTGTAAATACACCTTTAAAGTATGTCCGTTAGGATATACTTTATAATTCAGCTACTGACCTGATATCCACAAGTGCCTAACTTTCAGCTTGAGCTGAAAGCATTCATTTATTATTCTTCACAATATTTACATTATCAGCTCCTGCTGTCTCAAAATGGACACTCAAAGGCTAAGGAACACAAAAATCAGTTCAAGTGAGCTGTCCAGAAGGTGGTAGGAAACAGGCTTAAAAATGCTTTTATGCATTGCAATCCCATTTGTATAAGGCCACCTCGCTGCTACAGAGACTCTTCCTTTATTTCTTACAGCTTCACCATTTACAACATGGAACCAAGACATGAAATGTGCATTTTTATTTGGTTTTCTACAGAATTATAAGGGATAAAAATAAATGTTGTTACATAAAACTGGAAAAAAAAAAACCCTCATCACATTTCTGTTAAACAGAACAAGAGTCCTGCATCTTCTTTTGCTTAAACTGGCAGCAAAAGGCTCTTACCACAGCAAAGGAATTACCACCACAGACATGCAGATATACATGCAGATATATTTCCAAATATCTTCAATCAAATCTAGATTTTTTTTCCCCACAGAGAAAAGACAATGCTCCTCTCTGGTCTTGGAATTTGTCTCCTTACTACAAAAAACATGATGTTGGAGCATGTGAAAAGCTATCAAAAGTTACCAAAAAGTTATCAAAAGCTTAAAAACAAATTTTTGTAACAAACAGTGTTAGGCGATCTAAATATAGAGGTTCCTATTAGCTCTTTCCGTATGGTATTGATCTCTCAGAATAAGACTAGCTGGAATGCCAAATCAGACAGGCTGCAGCGGGAGCTTTCCCCAAACGAAAACCAAGCCATCTGGAAGACGAGGAAGAGGACAGTAACTCTGTCCGGGGGCCCTGACTACATGGAGCCGCCTTGGTGTATTCCCTAACTCCCATTTGCCTCATCGGCTTCTCTTTCAAGTCCAAGATGCAGCAGAACCAGGGAACGAGACATTTACATGCCACATAGCACAAAGGACGATTGAGTCGTGTCTAAACTGTATCCACACGGTAAACTACCACCACCACAGTGCACGTCACTACAACACACTACCGCTAACACACTGCACCTACTATATCTTCACAGAGTTTGCAGAAATCTACTAAAACTACAGTTACAGGAACAAACTGTTGCTAGCTCATCAAATGCATACATTTCCTATCAAAGTGAAGCACAGGTATCAAAACCAAATTCTAATCCTTTTAGCACTGTCCCTTTCTCAGCTGTAACCTCCATTTTCTGTTAAAAGGAGAGAGCTTCTCTATTTGCCCAGTCGGTCCCAGAGGATCTTTAGATTTATCAAAATGGGTGTTCACCTTGTTATGGGCAACTACTTTGAGAGCAAAGGTTGCCAAATACAGGGAATTCATGACAAAACTAAGCTGATTACGAGACTCTTCTAAAAAGTCTTCTAAACCATCATACCAGAGTCGTTTAACATCCGACCACACCATTCCTGCAGGAAAAAAGACAGACAGAGAAGTCAACCCATTACACTGAACAGACGTTCTCTTACAATTAAGCACTTCCGACTGGTTTTGTATATAGTCTTTTAGCAAAGAGGAAAAAAATGAATTACATAAATTTACTAAGAACAATGCATTGGGCTACAAGCATTAATTATAAGGCAACAAGATGTTTAACCTCTTCTCGTCTACTTTCAAACTAGGAACCAATAAAGACAGCACGAGGGAAAACGAACAGGAGAATAACATGCACAGGGAAGGGTCAAAATTAAAGGTAAAGGGACAGAATACAAATGCTTTTTATGAAAGGAAAGTATTCAGCTGCTTCAAAAAAGATGATATAAAGCATCACATATTTTTGGAAGTGTATTTGTACTATAAAATGCTCTTTAAGAAAAAGCAGCTTATTAACCGTTCCTGAAAAGATCCAAAAGTGCAGTAGAAATGTTTCTTACTCTGATATCAAGTAACATACATGAAAAGCGACCGTGGCTTAAGACTGCAGAAAATCAGAAGTTCAACCTAGAACAACATACACTTAAAGATTAAGGATCTTAATTCTGGCAAACTGATGTGACCACTGCTAACCATGCCCGACTGTACAGAAAAACGCAGCTACTAAGAATTTTACTAACCAAATGTCTGTTACAGGCTGACATTTTTATAAAACTTGAAACGACCTTTAGATGAAATACAGTGACACCTTTGATTTCTATGAATAATCAGTTATGTAATGTTTTTTGAGCACTTTAGATGTAAGCTACTATACTTAGAAGGAAAGCAGCATTTATATGATTGGTAGTTAAAAACTACTAGACTCGGTTTAACTTTTAGGACTTTGCAAATTCTCTAAAATTTTGATCTGTCCAGTAAGAGAAAAATGAAGTGGAAACCACCCCCCCAGGTATTTATGCATGACTACTTGCTCAATCAGCTTTGCTGCAATGTTGCAAGGCAGTATTAAAAAGTGGTGTGCAGTGTTAGTTAAAAAGACACACAAATCTCTCTTTTTCCAGGTTACAGACAAAATGTTTCTAAACCAGAACCTATGTACCCTTCCCATTGGATCAGCACATATCCAAGCTGAATTTGTTAAATTCAACAAATTTCTTTAGGAGCTGGAGAAGTAGAAGATGGTGTAATTTATATGTTATTTACACACACAGGAATTGAGTTCTGTTGCTTTATTTTACAAGGGAAAGCACTTTTATAATTCAGGCTCATAAATTTGGAAGAAAGAATTACTGTGACTTTGAAAGTTAATCTAAATGTACAATATTCGCTGATAACTTAAAGTGTTAGAACTTTTGCTGTGATCATACTGATACTGATTTTTAAAGGGCATTTTAATAGAACTCTGGAGGATGAAAACGTAGATAAATGTGTTACTTGGTTCTTTTATTCAAGTTCATTTTGGCACAAATTTTCTAAATACATTATTTTTCAACTTACTGAGTATTTGTAAGGAAACAGTCCAATATATGATTATAAAATAACACTTAAGCTATAAATATAATTAGTATTTAAAATATATGAAGATTCAATAATGTGAAAAATAATATGATTTAACAATCTATGCTACATTTTTCAATCCTAATTATAGTCCACAGGTTAACATATTACATGAGGAGATTAAAACGTTTCTATAGCCTTTCAGTGAAATTTTCAAGACCACCTAATGTCATACCTTCTGTCTACATTCGATGTGAAGGAAGTTGAAACTTGGTTTCAAAAAACAAGTTAAAGAATTTCTAAGATCAGATAGTGAATCTGAAAACAAAGGAAGAGTCTATAATACTTTTAGTAGTCTACATCTGAAGATTTCAAGTTTAAGATCTGCAGAGGTTTGGGAATAAGAACTTGGTCTTTCCAGGATCCACACAAACTACTCAACAGGTTTTATATAGATAAACATTGAAAGGAATCACTGTTACACAAACATACACACAAAAATACTGTATAGATAAGAATCGTGATGTTTACAACTATGTAATTATTTTTTAAACTCCCAGTCAATCAAATGATGCACATTTAATTATCCTATACTAAGGTACAAGTTTCCAGGAATTTATTTATCGAATTCTAATCTAAATAAAACAAATAAAAACATGTTAAAAGGTTTTATGATTTTTCACCCAATACAAAAGTTCACAAGGAACCTACTCCACGGAAATTATCCCTGTGCTCCCTCTACTGCATCGCCCAGAATTAACACATGTAGTTTCAGGTATGGTGAAATAGTCAGCGAAAACGACACACAGAAATGGAAAACTATAAGATGGGGAAAAATTCTTCTTCCTGGCAGTATTTTAAAACAAGGGGGAGGGACATTCACAGTTTCTATTTATTAGAATAAGTGGGAGTATGCGCATGTATATAAACATATATACAATCTATTTTTTTTTTTCTTTAAACCATATTTGAGGTCTGCAACAGGTCCAAATTGTTGTGGCTTTTGGTTTGTTTTAATCTAACATACAGAATTTGTGAAGAAAGACTGAGTTGTTACTTATAGTTGATGTGCTACTAAACTGGAAATTTTGTGCCTCTTCGAAGCCCTCCCCCTGAGCTGAGCAGGATATTATCGAAATTTCATATTCACAATCTGAAAGAGACTTTGTAGAACCCTAAATATTGACATTTCTTTAAACTTGGATTAAAGCAACAAAAATCCAGAGGATCCCCCTGTTCTGTATAGTTAGAGCATACTGAAACAGAAACAAAAACACTGCAGGGGTTGATTTATGACTATAAACTGCACATTTATAGTTTATACCCCGGTAAGTTGCAATTCAGAAAAAAAAAAAAAACATTAACTCGTATACAATGCATGAATATTTTTAATCCACTGATCTTAGCTTTGCTAAATTAGAAAGGAACAATAACTTGACTATTAATATTCAGATTCTAGCATAATTCCATATGCCGATGCATAAATAATTAAGGAGTTGAGATCATTACCTTTTTGTTAAAACATAGAAAAGTAAAAGAGCTAGAAGAAATCAGAAAATGCAAGTTTGTTGGTGGATGTCTTTTTTCATATTTGTTGGCCTATGTCGTTTTCATAAGAAACAAGTTTTTACTCACAATGATTAAATATGCTATATAGTAAACAAAATCACCTATTCATGAAAAATTTTTGGAAAAAAAAATCTAAGACGATATCTAAATTAATTCTATTTCTCAGTCTAGCACAAAGGAAAAATAGTTAACCATAGGCTTGTATCTGTTACAGAACTGTTAATCCGAGGAACACACAGGTTTGCTTTCCACTCATGCTTTTTAAGTTAGTACCAACTTAATGTCCCAAATTTAGGAAAATTTACAGCTTTTACACTAATATGCTATTATTATACAACCAAATCTCATTTGCATCAATCCAAATACTACCAGTCTCCCTGAAGTAAAACTCACAGTTCGTCCTCTGTCAGATCCTGTAACATTCTGCTTCTCTGAAGCTTTGCTTTCTTTGATAACTAGAAACTGTTGTAACACATCACATCGCTTCCCCAAAATGTGTTTTCTTTCTGTAACGCTATCCCCCAAAGAGCAAACCTCTGTCAAGCAACCAGTAACATGCTGATTTCACAGAGAGGTAGTGCAAATCATTATTGTTAGATCAACGTCAGAAATGTTCACGTGATTTATTCAAATCATACCTACCAATGAGCCATATTATCAGAAGATAGTCTATTCTTTCAAGGGCTGGCCCCATTGTATTCTTCTTATTCTCATTGTAGACCAGTGAGTACAAATTAAGTAATAATAGAAATGTGAAATATGAAGCCCCATGAATAATAAACTTCATAAAAGGAGTGTGGATTATTCGACCCACTCGAGATTTAGGGGCTAACAAGTAACACAGGGACAGAACTGGCCAGAAAATGCCAACTGTCAAAACAGTCAAAATCTTCTTGCACGTATGCTTGCGCCGGTAGCCTGCCATCTGTCCAAACCACACGGTGTTAAGAAACTGCTGGCAGTTAGATTGAGCAACAAACTGGAGGAGAGGGGAAAAAAAAAAAAAAAAAAGAGAGAGAGAGAGAAACAACCAAGAAATCAACTTCAGGTTTCTTCATGCTAATTACTAATACCATCATTAAAATTCATTTTCCAACGACGTGAAGGCCCTCACGAAGCTGAAACGGGAACAACATTAAAGTTGAAATAATTTTCTCATAAGAAAACAAAAGTGCTAAGGACTCATTACAATTACCACATGTATTATTTTAATTTCCTTCTACAGTCAGAAACTAAACATAGAGTAAACACACTAGATCTTTTAAAGGTCGCCAGGTTAACAACGAGCTTTGGTTTTCAATTATTTAGAAAGCTGGTATATAAATAACGTTATATCCAAGACAGTTGCATTATCTGTGTTACTATAAGATACTGTAATTGTCTCTGAAAAATAAGATACAATTATTGTAAGATACTGTCTACACTGCAAAACACAATGCCTTGTGGCCATGCAATTTTATATGTACTTCTTAAAATCTTTATGGCTCTGTTTAGCAGGGTTAATTTTAAATCAGAGTAAGCTATGTCAGCCCCGCAAAAGACGAGATTTTGGTCTGAAAATTATGCAGTTTATTACTGCATAATTTTTTTAATTTACTGTATAACTACTATGTAGTTTCAAATGTTAGTTGCTGACTCGCACGCAATTCAAAAGAATATATTTACCCTACAGCATAGTTTGTAATTTCATTTCAAAACCAACAAAAATAACATTGACGTTACCATCATCACATTTCAGAAAGCATCATGAAAAATTGTCACTATAGTAAACTTGGCACCAATGAAATACTTTCTGCAAAGATTATTTTCCTCAGACCACACCAAAAAATGTTATTTTCATTCAACCACTATGGTTTAAAAAAAAAAAAAAAAAAGGAGCGATGCTCAAAACCAAAAGAGCATCCAAAATACTTTAGTATGCTCATTTAATGCATACCAGAACTGCTGGTAAGGCTGATCTAGGACATTTGATAACTGTGGCTTGGGACTTTTAAACACTATGGATTTTAACAGTTTCTCAAACAGTTTAAGCTTAGACATATAGAACAAACAGTAATGTCTTCTGCAAATGCTAAATGCAAATGCATTTTCACGACACTGAAACATTGCACTAATGCAAGTTAAAAGCCAAAGTATTCTATGTATGAAAAGAATCATCATTTTTGCTAGCAAACGTCACTAAGTAATTGCAAAAAAATCTTACTTATGTGTTTAGTAAGTAACTTTCATATCTGTCGCATTTTCTTCAGGGAGAAGAAAATAGCTATTTATAAACATAACACTGAGCACAATGCTTGAAGATGTACATACAAAAGCTTCGTTAGCTTAAATTGAGTAAATTTGTAAAAATCGGTAAGTCTCCGGAATTTCCTGAATTTCTAAATAAGGAAAGAGTAAAGAACAGGAGGTAAAGATGAAAAGCAAAGCTGAAGACCCTTATGCCATCCTTTCTTTTACTAAAGTCTAAACCCTCATTTAGATTTAATAACTACTGAAGATTTTAACTCTGAGAAACATCACTTTATATATTTTCATATTATCACTATCACTTATGCACAGAAAATAAACTTTCTTCCTATCCCTTGGCCTTGCACTAGAATCCCACAAGTACCTATACCCAGCCCAGTACAGGAAAAACTAGAGTTATAATTTGTCAAAGGACAGAGACAATAACTTACTACATGAAACAAGTTCTGCATTCAAGGCACAAAAGGCAATATTATTCTGGAATGGAGGTGCTATTCAGTTATACCAGCCTAAGTCTAACAATTATTAAACAACACAGGGCCTGAACCAGAGATGAACAGCTCAGGACAAATGAGAAGATAAATCCTGTGTGGCAGCTAACGGTCCATGCTTCCCAAGATCAGGATTTAATGAGGATCTGGACAGATAATTACCACTACTAGAGCTAGTGGCAAAGAGTAGTAGCCTATATATCAATACAGAAAACACTACATTCTTCTTCAAAGTAAATACTGGAAAAATACTCAGCATCTTGCAGTACCATTTCCCTATGTTCCACCTGTAAATGGTATGCGTATTACATTCTCTTCTATGACTCTTGCAAGTTTATTTCCATATCCATGTCTAGAAGCAGAACCAGAAATTAAATGAACCACAAGTAAAATGATACGAAAAACCTACGAAATTACAGCACAGACAAACCTCTTTCTGATTATACTTGATTGCAAGTTTTAAGCGACTTAAATTCATCCTCTCTTCCAACAATCCTCGCTTGTCTATGTGTTCATCACTAGAGGTGTGATTTAGAATAACTTCCAGCTCCCGTGAATTCCGTGCCTGTGCAAGCAAGTCTTTAGCAAAGGTTTTGCACTGCTGTGCTAGTTCCTCATAATCATTTCTGAAGAACAAAGAGATACCAAATATTAATGCACTGCTGATATAGTTTCCATTAATTCATTAACTATCTAAGTTCAGCTTGGATTGTATGCTACGCTAAGGTAAAGAAAAAAAATATTTCAAGACGTGAGCATTCGGAAGACAACATTATATAGGTTTCTCCATGTAACGTGACAATTGTAATACTTGAGATCACTTTGCAACTCCAGGAGACAGATAAAAACTGAGAAACAGTTGCAGTATACAAATTCTTAGCTTTTATTTATCTTGAGTTCCATATGAAGAGTTAAAACTTGGTGTTATTTCCAGGAGATAAGAAAATGTAGTAGTCACAAAATATTTTAAGTAATGATTCTGGTAATTCTTAACTTGGAATTTCTTAATTCTCTGCTTTGAGGGTAAGTTGTTTTGGATTTTGTTTTTGTTCATGCCACGTGAAAATCAAAGTCTATTCACTAAATAATATATATTAATATAATAAAGGCAAGAAAAGAAATTACATTAGTTGCTAGTCTCACCTGACACACAATCTACTTCACTGCCAAGCTGTATCTCCAAAATGCAACAGTTGAACTTTTATTAAGATATAGGATCAGCTATAAATAAAGATTATTTCAGGTATTGTTTAGAAAAGTAAAATCTTAACCTACATAAACATTTGTTTACATGAGGCAAGAAATAAGAAATAAGCTCTACGAGTATGAGCAGATCCTTCCAACAGTCAGTTCATTCTATGTGAATAAGACATGGAATAATCTATGAAAAACCGAAATAAATAAAGACATGATTTTTGAGAGAGATTTCTTAATATATTTTATGTTTGTTCTCAGAGAAAAATATGCTTTTTTGCTATTAAATTTCAAAAAAATTACATAAAATCTCATAAAATTACACTGAATATTTCTTATATAGACATGGCATTTTCAGCATGAAATGTTCTACACGCATACATATACATACACACATGCTTTCCTATATTATTAGAAGCAAAATTAAGAAACAAAACCCAGAACAATTTCAAGCCTGAGTCAGGTCAGTACAGACAAGTGTTACCTAGTTCCACCTTGATGTTACATTTAAAAAAAGAAAGGAAAAAAAAAAAAAGCATGGCACTAATGAGATATGAGTATGATTAAAAGCTGTGTGATCTTGATATAAATCAGGATTTAGCATTATTTCTGCTTATTTTTCCAGAGTAGAGATGATATTTGAAAACTAACCACTCTAAATCCTTTTCAGTGAAGACAGCTCAAAGTAATTAAAGTCTCACAAAATAAGGCAGCAATTACTTTGTATATACATAATATATTTTTATTATAGGTATTACTTTAAACCTCCTAATTACGAGAAACTGAGAATAAACCTTTTATAATGCTCATACATATCAACTTACGTCTTTCCATAAAAGTATAAAGTAGGTTTGTGATTTATTCAATTCCTACCTGAATTCAACCTCAACAAGACTTAATTCTTTCAAGTCTGCACTAAGTTCAAAAGCTCGCAGGATTGGATCCTCCTCTGTCAACATTATTAAAGCAGGACTGGCCAAACATCGATAGATGTCAAGACGAAACCTGTGACAAAAGAATAGCAAGCAAAATGAAGATATTTCATTTAGTTAGCAGTTTCACATCAGAACCTGTTCTGAAAGTTTGCACAAAAAGTCAGCTTGAAAGAACAAAACAAAAAAAACTTAAAATCAGAAGCTAAAAGCATTAAATGTTCTCAATATGCACATTACATGCATATGTCAATGGAAGAAACTGTTTTTAGTCTAATTCCATTGTCCTTCATATACTTAGAATTCCCATTATTTCAAGCATCAAAAATTGCCTGCTAAATTGGTGTCTTCTCTTCTCCTCACTGCTATTTCAAATGTTATTAGCACACCAGCAGAAGGCCACCATTTAAGGAAACAGTATGGCTAAAATTTTGACAGTTTTGAAGTTTTACACAGTAGTGCTTATGGTGCAGTGTATATAAGAGAGAGACGTAAAGCGTTTCAAGGCAATCTTCTATCGTAAGAAACTAAATTAAAAACAGCGGGGAGCAGCTGGCAAAAGAGCCTTTCTAGGTCAACTGCTTCAAATAAGTAATGCTGTTCCAGCTAACTCAAGGGAGAGGCAAAAAAACATTCATATACTTCCTTCATATCAATGAGGCAAGGAAACGTGTTCTTGATCCAAAATCCTCCTCACTTCAAACCAAACCAGATTTGTGCCAGCAGCCTTCCACATTCCAGGTTTTTATGTAAAGAGCATATTACTCACCAGTTCTGTCCTGCTTCTAGAAACAAACCAAAACATGCAAAAACGTTTGGGTTCCCCATTCCTTTATAATAATTAAATGGCCAAAACTCTGGATCATTATTGAGGTGAGTTAGTGAAACTCCTTTCCCTACTCCAGAAGCAGATCCCAGACAAACTTACTAACCCAGGTTTTCAATTCCATTTTGTATGAGCATTTTTTTTTTTTTTTTAAGTACATGCATTGCTAAAATATAATTCAAATAGGACTCCATACACTATACCTTTGAAGAATATTTTCGGTTTGATAGACAGGTATTAAGTTTTCTGATAACGCTGCACTCAGAGATACATGTATCATCTAACTCAGATGAAGAAAGCACTCAACCTTCTCTTAAAATCCTCTGTAGGATTTTGTCTACCAGCAACTTTGCACACGTGTCCACAAAACACTTTTAAAAAATGCAACACATTAAAAACATTACAAAACAGCTCACAACTTACCAGAGTCTGACATTACAGCACTGTTTTAACATTGGTAATGCCGCATGCAGCCAAAAATTTAGAAAATTCATTTAACGTGACACCAACATAAAGTCGGTCTTTTTGGGACATAATTTCTAACATTTACAACACTGAAAATAAGAAAATTCCATTACGGGCATGGCCCACCTCTGTCTCTTAAGCGGCATGTGACTCTCAAACAGCCCAAGTGCGGACTCCACGCCAAGGATAAGGGATGTGACTATTCGTGAGGTTGTGCTGGCGTGCAGCTCTCTAACTAATCCAAGTGCCCAGCAGTGCTCCGGGACCAAGGCATTACCAGCACACCCATCCTTCGGGAACTAGCCCGATGCCCAGCCCACTCCTCCATTTGGA